GGCCCTTTCTAGACTCAGGTGTCTTGGATGTGCAATTGAGAAGCACATTCAGAAGATTACATCTGCCACCAGACCATGTTGCTAATTCTTTCTTTGCTGAAACTGACTGCTTTCGGTATGAAAGTTGGCATCATCCCGTGCCCTGTGAAAAAGCTGAAAACCACCTTATATATTATAGCTGACAAGGAGCAAGTGCACATGGTGCAAACAAAGCTCACCTGAAATGTTAGCAATGGAATTAGGAAAGAAGAGTCAGATAAAATACTGCAAAGAAAATTCACTGTAGTTCCTTCCCTTTTGGAAATCTGTTACCAATGAAACAGGTATAAGTTAATGTAACAATGCAGACTGTTTGCTGTGATGAATTTATATGATACAGAGCTGATCAATGGGGTGTAGTGCAGTTCAGTAGATTGCTCCACTTTGCTATTCTTAAACCATTCTGTGATACCATGCATCCCATTATTGGTACTCTTCCAGAAAGGAGAGGAGAATTTTAGAAGCCTCATAATATGTACACCTGATTTTTCTCATAAGAACATTTCTCATGTTTTGATATGTATCTTTTATGCAACTGCATTTTAAGATGTGTGTTTGTAGAATTTTTATAGTACTTGTGTGTTTTTGATTGTGACCCGCCTTGAGCCATGGGGATAGGTGGGCAAGAAATAAAAATGTTGTTGTTGTTGTTATAAAACATTGCTTCTCTCAGGGGACATCAATTCAGTAAACCTCACCTCCTCAAAGGCGAACTTAACCATTTAAACTGGGCTATACAGGCCAAAGGATACTCCACCTCAAACATCAGAAGAGCTGCAAGACTGAGAAGAAACCACGAAAGTCAAGACAAAGATCCACCAAGAGGAAAATGTTCTTGCCATACATCAAGGGAACCACTGACCACATAGGGAAGTTGATGAAGAAGCACAGTCTACAAACTATCTACAGACCTGCTAAGAAAATTCAACAAATGCTAAGATCAGCAAAAGACAAGAGGGATCCTCTCACCTCTGCAGGAGTCTACCATATACCATGCAGCTGTGGACAAGTCTACATAGGGACCACCAAATGTAGCATTGCCCAAATACGAATCAAGGAACATGAAAGGCACTGCAGACTAATTCAACCAGAGAAGTCAGCCATAGCAGAGCACTTGATGAACCAACCTGGACACAGCATATTATTTGAGAACACAGAAATGCTGGACCACTCTCATAACCACCATGTCAGATGACACAGAGAAGCCATTGAAATCCACAAACATGTACACAATTTCAACAGATAGGAAGAAACCATGAAAATGAACAAAATCTGGCTACCAGTATTTTAAAAACTCGGGACAGTAAATAATGAACAACACTTTAAAAAAGGGAAAATTCAGACAAGAACAAATCACAGCCAGCAAACACCTCCTAACAAAGGAACCCTCCCAAGCAGCAAACAGCCAGACTTTGAAGCTGCAAGGCCATTCCATGCTAATCAAGGTGGCCAATTACAATATTCACACTTGCCTCAAACAGTTCTTTCTCCCACCCTGGACATTCCACAGAAAGATAAACCTCACTTGTCTAGTTTCCAACAGACCTCTCAATCTCTGAGAATGCCTGCCATAGATGTGGGCGAAACATCCGGAGAGAATGCTTCTGGACCATACAGCCTGGAAAACTAACAGCAACCTAGATATGTAAACCTTTGCCCAAAACAAAGCCCTGTGGAAACGAGTCACAATGCTAACCCCTTCATTGGAAAAATAGCTCAGAAAGAAGATGTGTGAACTGAATGGATTTGTGAATCAAGGAATTGTTTATGTCCCAATGAACTCACAACTTAACCTGTCTTTGCAGCAAAGCTGCTATTTGGAATGATGTTATGGAGGTAACATTTAAGCTACAGAAGAGCACACCATGACTGTCACCATGTGTTCAAATTCAATTCAATTAGCATTATCACTATAATATGTTAGTTATGTTTCTATTAGATTTGTGCACAGATCTATTTTCCTTCAGTATCTTTGGTACCTTCAGGCGCATGTAAAGGTAAGGGCCCTCCCAGTATGAAAACCCAGTGATTCAGGCCATGAAAGCCTTTGACAACACCTCACCAAAAATATGGATTCAAACAGTCCAGGCCAAATTTGCCTTCAGGCCAAAGTTGCTGGCTGGCACACTTCCTCAGATAAACCCTCTTCCTCTCAATAATAATAATAATAATAATAATAATAATAATAATAATAATAATAATAATAATAATCTTTCTGTTCATCTGGCAAGATGTTATTTTCTTCAAGATAATCTTAAATTCTGTCAGCTATAATGCCAGTCAGTAGTTTAAGCATAGTGGCAGACATGTTATTGGCCTGTAGTTTCCTGGTGCTGCTCCTTTTGCTGGATCTTTTTGTATCAGATAAATATGCTGAAAAGGCAGCTGATGACCCTAAATGTAGACTGTGCAAGGAAGTGGGTGAAACCATTGATCATATCCTCAGCTGTTGCAAGAAAATCGCACAGACGGACTACAAACAGAGGCACAACTCTGTGACCCAAATGATTCACTGGAACTTATGTCACAAGTACCACCTACCAGCAGTAAAGAATTGGTGGGATCATAAACCTGCAAATGTAGTAGAAAATGAACATGCAAAAATACTGTGGGACTTTCGAATCCAGACTGGCAAAGTTTTGGAACACAGTACACCAGACATCACGATTGTGGAAAAGAAAAAAGTTTGGACAGTTGCATTGAGGAAAAACAACAGGAAAAACTCAGCCATTATCAGGACCTCAAATTCAAACTGTAAAGGCTCTGGCATAAACCAGTACAGGTGGTCCCAGTGGTCATCGGCACACTGGGTGCCGTGCCAAAAGATCTCAGCTGGCATTTGGAAACGATCAATATTGACAAAATCACAATTTGTCAACTGCAAAAGGCCACCTTACTTGGATCTGCACGCATCATTTGATACATCACACAGTCCTAGACGCTTGGGAAGTGTTTGACTTGTGATTTTATGATACCAAATCCAGCATATAGATATCATTTGCTGTGACATACTCTGTTTTTGTGTCAGTAAAATAAAACTTTATTTGTATTCCACCCTGTCTCCCCAGGGGGATTCAGGGCAGAATCCAACATACAACAACAAACATTCAATGCCTCCATAAAGCAAACAAGTACCAACATTATAACCCCAGAAAAGCCCCACATATTAAAACAATATTAGAACCTAACATCAATAAATTAAACCAATCATAATCAAACAAAAATTATACAATGGTGTAAAATCTGAATGCAAAATATTCACATTAATTTACAAAAGCCAACCATCATTCACAAAATTGTGTAGGTTGGTTTTGTGGCCAGAGTGGTTGAATGGTGAGTGATTGTATCTGGGCTAACATAGACTAGAGAAGCCCAAGTACGGAATAGTTCTTAACCAGCAGTCCAATAGTAATCTCTCAATGTCTAACCCTCCTCCTCTCCATACACTCAATGGAAGTGATTAGGTGCCATCCACATTTGTATAATTACTATAATGACAGCTGGACATAGAAACCTCAGTTTTGGATGTGGAGACACAAACACAAGTTATCCTATCAACTATGGTTATGCTATCAACTATGGGGGACCATTAAATTCCTGTTGTAGCCAGAAAGCAACAGGTGATGTAAGGATGGTTACTAGGCAACCATTCAACCATTTCTTTCTTTCTCACTCCTCTGTGATTAAGCACCCTGCTATCAAATTAGGATGAGAGTGTGATAAAAGTGAAGAGGAGTGGCAACAAGAGCAGAACAGCAGCGACTCTGGGGAATGAGGAGCAACTGAATAAAACGCCTGTTATCAAAAGGATCTGAATTTGTATCGATTTGTCTGTTGTCCAATCTAGCCATTTACAGGGCATAAGAGGTATGCAAGGCAACAACTGCTTTGACACTGACAAAGCAACACCTGACGAGAACAAAGTGTGTAATTTCTTCCTTGATAACCTGATTTACTGGTGTGATGCTTTAGAATACATGCTGACACAACAGATTACATAAAGCAATTGGTATTCCATGGTATGACATGGTAATTTTTCAAAGTCCATCCCCTTCTTTGTCAGTTTTTGCTGGCCATACTGTCTTCTCAGTATGTATCCCATGAGAAAGAATGTTTCTCTGACACACAACATATGTCTACTAAATAGTAAAATTATCACTCTGCAGAAACAAGATCCACAGCAGAATGACTAATTTTTAACAGCAAAATGTGCAAAATCTTTCCTGTCTCATAGATGGGACAAATGATGGCAGCTGAATGGAGGTGGAGAAAAGAGACAGTGTCACTAGAGGGACAGTTGAGTCATTTTAATCTCCACTCCACATCATCAGCATCCCATCGAAACTTAAAAACATGTACTTGTCATTTTAAGTTGCAGTACACTGTTAATACAATATAGTCTGTATATATTAGAAATACAAATCTCTGTTTGGTTAAGTGTTTTATCTTAGATTCAAACGTTTTCTCTCTAGTGGACAAAATGTGGAAGTACTTTTCAATTAATTTTTGCATTTTGGGTGAGTTCGCTACAGGCAATAGCTCAGAAGGGAGAGGATAATGAGATAGCTAGAGAGCCTTCTCTTGCCAACACAAGAGCTGTCACAACCTTAATTCACTTACCGAATCTAGAGACTATTACCGGGGGGGGGGGGGGGGGGGGGGGGAGGCAAAATGCCATTGTTGCCTTTACCAAAAGGGAGGTGTGACTATTTTGCAATGGTGACTATTATACAATGAAATACAGTAGCTCATGCTAAGCTCCCTCAAAAATAAATGAGCCATTGTTAAATGTGCCACTAAACTGCACATCCTTTTTATACTACAAAACACAATTACCTACATGCAGGGATGCAAAATTGCATAAGCTATCCATTGTTTTGAGACTGATTCAAACACTATATGAAAATATTAGAAATATTAATGTGACAAATTGTAGAGACAAAATAAATATGCATACTCACCCCTCTAATCTTACATCGGGCAAACTTCTGTTCAGTGCAATCATATCACTGGCCATAAGGTTAAACTGGTTTATTTTGAACAGTTCCTTCATTTTTTCCTGATCATCCTTAGGTATGATGACTGCCTTCCCCATCTCTCCAGGCCCTTCTTGGCTTCGTGACATAACAGCTATAAGAAAAAAAATGTACCTCTAACTATTCCATGTCATTTTAACAATGCACAGCCATATATGTAAAATTTTTGGAATCTTGAGCTTCAAGGTGATGGGAGAATATATATTTTACTCTAAATTCTAGGCTTTGAGACAATATTTAATTAATATACAATCAATACAATCAGAATTTTGGAAACATACTTTCTTTGTCCAGTATTTTATAATGATGCCATGTCTGAGCAGTTTATTTACCACATCTGTTTCTCATTCTCCCCCTTCAAATAGCTGAAAATTTAATTCACAAGCAGTGTCCTATTTTATCATTGCAATAATCTGAGAGCAAGAGTGTAAGATGGAGTTTAGAAGTCACCTCATCATAAAAAAATTGGCTACCATGTCAGCCTTCTCATTAAAGGGATAAAGACACATCAATTTTTAATGGAATGGCTGTTGGGAAACCATGCTCCCCATTCTAATTCCTGCAAAATTAGACAACTCCACTGTTGACTGGTTACATGCAAGGGGTTTGTGTTCATTTTCCAGAGTGGCTGTTTGCAATTGGAATATGTAACATCTTAAGACAATGGTTCTCAACTTTCCTAATACCATGACTCCTTAGTACAGTTCCTCATGTTGTGGTGACCCCCAACCATAAAATTATTTTCATTGCTGCTCTATAACTGTAATTTTGCGACTGTTATGAATCATAATGTAAATATCTGATGTGCAGGAGGCACTTTCATTCACTGGGCCAAATTTCACATAAATATCCGATACACACAAATTGGAATACTGGTGGGGTTGGGGGAGAGGATTGATTTTGTCATTTGGGAGTTGAGGTTACTGGATTTATAGCTCACCTACAATCAAAGAGCATTCTGAACTCCACCAACGATGGAACTGAACCAAACTTGGCACACAAAACTCCCATAACCAACAGAAAATACTGGAAGGCTTTGGTGGGCATTGACCTTGAGTTTTACAGAGAGCACTGTGGACTCAAACTATGATGGATCTGAACCAAATTTGACACAAATACTCAATACGCCCAAATGGGAACACTGGTGGAGTTTGGGGAAAATAGATCTTGGCATTTGGGAGTTGTAGCTGCTGGAATTTAAAGTTAACCTACAATCAAAGAGCACTCTGAACCCAGCCCACAATGGATCTGCACCTAACTTGGCACACTACCTACATGGCCAACATTGAATATTGGTGGGTTTGGTTTCTGAATTCTGGGAGTTGTAGTCCACCAACACCAAAAAGGAAGAGAAGGACAGATGGAGAAATCTTCAGCCTTCCCTGCCAAAAGGGTTCCTAAGATCATCAGAAGTATGTGTTTTCTGATGGTCTTTGGCGGCCCCTCTGAAACCCCCCTCATGACCTCCCAGGGGTCCCAACCCCCAGATTGAGAAACACTGTCTTAAGGCATACATGTAAGACTAAGCTATAAAAAGCACCTGATTTCCCTGCTTTGTGTTGCAAATTTATTTGGCACCCATGGGCTCATAATTTTGGATTTCTGAATCTCTGTATTAAATGATCAACTAGACTGACAATTTTTGGCTGTCTGTATTTTGACTAAGCCTGTACCTCTCTGAAGGATTGGGAGGAAACAATCAAGTGATGTCCATTATACTATGGCATGAGGAAACATAAGATTCTCATCTAACCTTGGCATAATATGTAGACATGGTAAGACAGGAGATCCATCTCTACTAGCCCTGAACTAGCATTTCCATACACAGAATGTGTGAGAGAGGCTACTTAGGCACTGAGCCAAATCATCACAAGGTTCCGAATCATAGGGTAAAACTCTGTCTAATGAACATTCAAAGACTGGTTCAGAATGAATGGATCTAATCCTACTTCCCTTCTAAGTGAGCAAGCCTTTCTTTCCAGGGCTAATAGCAGCCATGAGTGTTGCTGTTAACTGCCATCAAGTCAGCTCTGATTTATGAGCTTTTGAATAAGAAAGCTTCAAGACATACTATTATTAACAATTGTGGTCAAGTCTTTTTAATTTAGGGGTATAACTTTCTTGTTTGAGTCAATCCACCTGTGTTCCTCTTCGCCTACTGCCTTCAACATTAGTTCATTATTGTCTCTTCTGAAGTGTCAGGTTGTTTCAAGATATGTGTAAAGCATTATAGACTCAGCTTAGTCATTCCAGCTTCTAGTGAGAGTTTGTCCTTATTTGCTTTTTGGTGGTCCATCATGTGCACAGAACTATTCTCTATCACCACAAATTAAATGAATTGCTTGTATAGTGTTCATATCCATATACTCAAAGCAAAATATTATGGTGCAGATGATCCTGACTTTGGTTTTAAATTGTATATCTTTACTCTTGTAGATCTGGTCTTGTTTCTTCATAGCAAGCTGTTTTTGTTTATATGTTCTTCTGCTATACAATGTGTATAATTAAACAGATGCAATTACATCAATAACTCAACAAAGGCAGCAGTATTGTTATTGATTTTTTTAATTTAGTTCTCTGCTAAACTGAATATATGGCAATGTAAGCTCTTAAAAGACAAGAAACCCCACTTCTCATTTATTGTATCACAGGATTCAAAGCAAGGTTTGTCACGTGCTGCCTATGCAGGTAAACTTGCCCATTTTGCTTTCTCGCATATTTAAAATCTTAAAAGTTATTTCCATAGAGTTTATCAGTAAGTTTGCAAATTCCCTTAGTTTGGCTACAGGCAACCAGAAGCTTCTGTCTTGGCGTGGATTCAATCTATCAAAAATGTGAATATCCCCAAAATAACTTCAGCACTTTGAATAGCTTCGTTAGAGTTTGGAATAAAACCAAGAATGTGCTCAGTAAACCCCTGACATGGAGGTCTCAGGCAGTGATTTTGGGGATAGATTATGAACAATCCACTCCTCAAATGAAGGTATAGGAAAGCTTACAGTATGCAAATGTATAGAACAAAGAAAGAAGAAAATGCAAACCATGTGTGCTGGGTGTGTGCATTACCGAACAAGTCCAAGGAAAATTCACTTATACTATTACTGTACTATTAGAGAGCTGTGATATAGTGGTGGGAATAATGGAATAGAACTCTGGGAGTTTTTGTTGTTGTTTTTGTTGTGTATTTTCAAATTGTTCATAATTATGATAATGCTATCATGGGGTTTTGTAGGTAAAACTGATTTACAGCAATTTGCCTTTGCCTTCCTGTGAGGCTTTTTTTCGTGTCAGAAGCAACCTGAGAAACTGCAAGTTGCTTCTCGTGTGAGAGAATTGGCCATCTGCAACGACATTGCCCAGAGGACACTCAGATGTTTTGCCATCCTGTGGGAGGCTTCTCTCATGTCCCTCCCTACATGAGACGCTGGAGCTGACAGACAGGAGCTCACTCCGCTCCCCGGATTCAAATTGCCAACCTTTCAGTCAGCAGTCATGCCAGCACCAGGGTTTAACCCACTGTACCACCGGGGGCTCACCATATGTGAGGCTGAAAATGTGTGACTTATCCAAGACCACACAGTGGATTTTCATAGCCAAATGGGAATTTGAACCATGAGCTTCCAGACCCTTAGTCCAACACTTAAACTATTACATGTGCTGGCTCTCCATCACTCCAGGAGACTTGATGACCATCAGCAAGTCACATTCTCTCAGCCTTAGAAGAAGGCAAACCCTCTGAATAAATCATACCAAGAAAACCCAATGATAGGGTTGTTTCTGTTGAAAATGACTAAAAGGCACACAATATCAAATGACTATGCCAGTCATAGTATGACAGTACATTCATGTTTCAAATATTTTGTGCTTTAGCAAATTATGGTGTTCCAATTATCATCTTGTTTTGCACAAACTTTTAAAAATACTAACCGGAAAGGGACCAATATAGGAAAGGAAATTATTGAGCAAGAAACTCTGTACAAAAGCACGGAAGAAAAAAACAAAAACCATGGAGCTGATGGGATTTCACTGTCAGCTCCATCCAACAAAACAGTGCCCAGTTCTTCAACTGCAGATAGTAAACATTTCAGAAGCTAGCTGACCAAAATTGCCTCTAGCAAAAGATCACAACCAGGGGGAATCTTTGATTGTTTAGACAACAGTAAAGGCTTCCGCAGCTGTCTTTTCAACCAGAAAAAAATGTTTCTCTTATAATATAAGTTATACCTGAAGAAGGTTTAACCTTTGGCTTCATCATATCTGCATATATGAAATTTCTGGTGGGTGTTTTTTAGGGAGAGTTCAATCAATAACAAAAATCCTGGCGTAGAAAGGAAACTATCAAAACTGCCTATAGGTAAAGAAGGAATACTTCTGTTTCGAGTCTAGTCTCTTCTTCAAAATATTAGTACAGATTGTTGTTGCAGATACTGCAACTGGCAACAGAATACACACACGCACGCACACACAATCCCACTACCTGCTGAGTTGTCAGTTTGTACAGGAATCTCTTACCCATTATCTGCCAGCACAACTGCTGATATCTATTCATCCATACAGATTAATTGCCCAATCCCATCAAGGAGATATAAACTCACTGAAGTCAACCTACACCATTGTGCGAACCTTTCAAGTTTGTTTCCATATTAGAGCCTTAGATTCCTGCAGAGATTAAAATATATCCCAACCATTTACAGAGAATGTCTATATTTAGATGACAAATATTATGAAGTAATTTTAATGACTGAAATGAAGACTGATAAAATTGAAATTTTTGGCAGAAGCAAGGATGCAATTGTGAGTACAGATGGTGATATTGTACTATTAGATTGAAATATTTTATGGATTACGAAGAAAATGATAAAATTACAATGACATTCTAGCAGACATAGTACATTATTGTTATATTTGAAACATCAAATTTGTTATCATATGACAGGTTTTTTTATATACACAACATAAAGGTACAAATCTTGTCGCTATCATAAATAATTGGCAGTGTTCACAGAGAAGAGTGTCAGAGATGAGTTCCACGAGGTGACAAAGGTTACTACGAGGTATTCTGGGTAGTATTCTGTGTTTCAGTGTTTGTAGTGG